TAATTAAATATTTTAATATTTTTAATATCAAAATATTTTAAAATTTATTTTTTAAAAAAATTTAAACTCTACCCTACTTCAATACCTTATCTTTCTGAGTAATAAAATTCCCAAAAATATTTAGAAAGTACGCCAGCGTAGACCACACCGTCACAACACATATACTTATCTATGCAATGTGGCTGTCACGAAGGTCCCCTGAATCCCGTACGACGCGTCACAACATTACCATATAAATCTCTCTCTTCCCATATCCTTCCTTGATCCAAACTACGAAACAGCCGTGCTGATCTGGATTTCTAGGGTTTTCTTCTTCTCTCCACCCCCCCCCCCCCAATAAATAAAATCCCTTTCTTCTACACTCCGCCACCACCACCCCCACCCCTCTCTACTCCTCTCTTCCCCTCTTTACTCTTCTCTTCAAAACGTAAGATCAGAGTTTTTGAAATCTCCAGTCGTCGGCGATTCCACTTTCGAAATCCGATCAACATCTTCTTCTTCTTCTTTTTATTTTTTTATTTCTTCTTTCATCAGAAACATAAAGTCACATAATCTGCAAGTGTAAACGGATTCGATATTGTTTTGAGATTTAAAAATATGAAGAGATCGAGGAAATCAAACAGGGTTTCTTGGGCTCCAGATGTTAATCTTTGTCAGGTATAATCTACGATTGCTTTTCAAAGAAAGATGCTTACTTCACACCATTTTTTTTTTCTATTCTTTTTTCATTGTAGATCTGTTTATTTTTTTTCTTCCAATGATCAGATTCAATCGTTTGTATAAGAAATTATTGAAGTTTAAAATTTTAAGTGGAGTTCAATCTGCATATGGAATATGGTTAATGGATCTTTTAATGGATAAAATATAGATTAAAAGTTTCAAAATTTGAGATAAAATAATCATCTTAAATAAATAACAATAAAAGGGTGAAAATTATGTTAAGCTCAAAATTTGTTTCATTTAAATCCTCAATCAAGAATCTATATGGAATTAAAAATGGAAAGATCTACAGAGTTTATGGATGAAAACTTAAATTTGTTTAATTTAAATTATGAATCAAGAGTCTGGATTCAGTAATTCAAAGGATGTACAGAGTTTATGGATGCCCAAAATATGTCTAATTGTGATCAAATCATGAGTCAACAATATAATTAATTAATTAATTAAGAACTAATTAAAGTTGAAATTTTGAAATCAACTATTAATTCGATGAATGGATGGAATTGTCTGCCAATGGCACGTAATACTCTCAACATTCACTGTAAATATTGTTGAAGTGATTATGGGGAGAGAAAAAAGGAAAAAAAAAGAGTGGGCGGATGATAACTAGTTGGGGTAGGTTATTAAAAGATCAATTAAATTGATTCATTTTAGTCTAATATTGTTGAAGTGATTATGGATCTTTTATTTGCTTGAAGAACGCATACATGCTCATCTTGCAAATTCTTGATAATGAAAGGTAACAACTTGGTAGCTTGAGTGCAGTTGTTATAAACTGTCTCATTGATTATTTGCATGTACATGAGTCCTTGATCATCAATAAAGAGGAATGGTGATCCTGATCGTGTTATTAGCATGCTTCAATTAATTTGTAGACAAGAAAATCCTTTTAAGTTTGATTTAATGGATGCTGGATTGTGAGATTGTCTCTTATTTATTTGTTTACTAAATATATAGTTACCTTTGAGATCATGGATTTGGTTTGTAATAAAAGAAAAGTAGACTGAAAAGGCAGGGTCAGGATTAATTTTTTTGGTACATTGAATGATTTAACTACTTGGTAGCACAGAGGTTTGAACTTCTAACCTTGACCCCAAATCAAGGTTTTTAAGTTAGTGGGTACCAACTTGGCCAAGCTTTTGTTAGTGCAGGGTCAAGATTTTTAGCATAAGAGAAATCATCTGTCTGGAAAGAGAATTTCAGAAGGTTTTAGTGTGGTCTTGATTTCCTGTTTGCAGTTGGTTTTCTTTTCCTTTTTCTTTTTCTGGTTTCCAGGGTATACGATCTTTTCATCTTATGGATCCTGTTACATTAGATGTGATTATTGCAACTAATCTCCTGATAATTATATGATGAACGTCAATACCCTTTGGGGCTATGACTTGTTGAATTGGATTGAAGCCTGGAGTTAATATTTTATAGAATTGTTTGTCTCCATGTGTTTGGCTATTTGCTTACTAAATTGTTCAAAGGCATATACATGAAAATGGGTGCTCTTTAACTTGGACTTAAGGGTTATAATCTGGCATTTTTGGTCCTAAATTATTTCTCACATTGTAGGTTCAACTGCAAGGTTATTTTCTAAAAGATTTAGATTAACTGCCAAAGGTTTGTATATTATTAGGGTGGACTAATTTGTTGCATTGTTTTAGGTAAAGCTGTTTCTAATGGGAGATTGTCCTTTGAAGGTCGGTGTTGAACCTGAAGTTAATCTTGAAGCAAAATCATGGACATTGCATCCCAGTGGCATGAACACTGATGACCTTCCTCCAGGATTTGAACAAGGTCATTGTTTCACTAATTTGAAGAATGTAACTTCACTTATTCCCAGGATTCAGTGGAAGTGCCCTCCCAAAGTAAGTAGATGTTAGTTTGTTTTAAAGGAATATCCAGTTATCATGTGCTACCTTCTTGATGGGAAGAGGTTTTCATGTTTTCTTGATCTCTTCCAATATCAACTTATGGGGGTCTAATGTTGTTATCCATATGAATCTAATTGTTTTCATTTTGCATGATTTAACAGTTTGTTGTGAATCCCAAGTGGCAAGTTGTAGCTGGTGAGGAGAGTGAAGAGGTAGAAGCTGAAAAGCTGCGTGAAAGTAGAGTGCTTGAAGCAGTTTATCCACGTCTTTCTTCTGTTCCTCCTAGGTATAGTTTACCCATTTTATTTTTTAAAATATCCAGTGACTACAAACTGCCTTGTTTTATATGTAGCAAACTGATTTTCATCTACTTTTCTTTTGTCGAACAGTCCCTCAGTTTTGTTGGACAAGGATGAATATTATGATGATAGCCAAACTCTGCTCGTTCCTCTAACTGCTATTGAAGATGAGGAGGATACTGAAGTACCATCTGCTGAATTCCCACCTCAGGCAAACACTTCTCAAGGTCTGTATGTATCTAGGACTCCCAACACTGTACATCACAATGGTGCAGACCTAGAGCTGCCTGCCAATGAAAAGCCAGCAACTGGGATATCACCTGATGCAATGGTAGCTGCTTCGGCTGTCTTAACTACAATAATGAAAAGCAAAGAGCAAGGCCGCATGATTGACGCTGACTTGCTTGTCAAGATTCTCAGTGACCCGAAGACAGTTGAGACATTGGTTAAAGATCATCGAGCACCTCTCACAAATGCAAATGCTTCTGTTGCTGCGGTAAGTACTCCAACCTCTGGGGGGATAAGTGCACCCTCATTTGTGTCAAAATCAGTAACTGCTGCAGCTCCTTTGCCTCGCCCAAAATCTGCTCCTGTTTTGCCACTGATGCCATTAGCAAATAGGAACCCAAACCGTTTGCTAAACGGAGTGAAACCTGTATCAAGTATGACCCCCACTCAGTCATCAATTCCTAATCCTATATCCACCACACCGGAGATGACCATGGTATCAGCATCTAGAACAGTAAATGGCAATGTCTACTACACACCAAAACGGATGCAGCCTGCCATAAGTGTGATGCCTGCCCTACCAAACTCTGTCCCACAGGTGCAGCCCACCATCAGCACAGTTCCAGTGCAGCCGAATTCTGCTTCCCCATTTGCAGCACTGGCAAAACCAAATCCAGTGAAAGATACAAACTACTTTAAGAACCTCATTAGGGAACATGGAAGAGAAAAACAAGAGAAAGAGGACTTTAATATCCCAGAAACCGGTCCCCATTATAATCACATGGATAATCAGGTAATGGTACAGAACTTAAAATCTGGACAAGTGAAACTAAAGAATCAAAAACCCTGTCTGTTTTTCAGCACTGCAAAGGGATGTCGAAATGGTACCAAATGCCCCTATGTGCATGAGTTTTCGGGTAATTGGCGGACTGGTAATGTACTGGAAGCTCCAAATGCTAAGAGAATCAAATTAAGTGGGGAAATAACAGGAAGGTAATAACAACAATCCTCTTCTTTCGTAGGATCTTGTACAGGTTTTTCGGCTTTGGCTTAAGGCGTAGTTTGACAGGGAGTATGGTCAATTATTTTATTTGCTTTCGGTGGAATTCTGAAAATTTTTTTAATCAAGAATTTGTGAAGTTTTTGAAATTTAACAGGATTTGTTAAATGCATTAGTTCCAATAATAAATGCCAACTTGTTAAATTTGGTTCCAAATTGAATATTGTCCAGGATAAAGCGAAACAGAATGTTGACCAATTTAGTTCCAATAAAAATATGAAGCTAGTACCTTTGTCCGATGCACAAACGGGCCAAGAGGCCGTTATTCAGGATGTTTTCGTAAGG